GTTCTATGTGGCGTATCTCTTGGTCCATTGTTTGGCTATTCTGTCGTGCTCTGTTCTGTTGGTCAGGTACTGTGTGGCGATGTTCCCCACCAGAGGGTCGGCTGCAAACACAAGCACAGCGTTTCTTCAGCTCAAACGAGAGTAAAGAACACCTCATTTACATAAAAAACCAACCCCTCCACTCATTTAAATCCTCCAGGTATCTAAAGCAAAGCTTTTGTGACTCGTGAGACCGTGACGATCTACAGCTGAGACCCTCATTTTCATACAAAATGTCACTAAAAAAATGGAGAAAACAGCACAATGCAATGTGAATCGTTTTAACCCTGTAATGCCAAATGTATCATATTTGATACGTACTGTTTCTGAAATGTTTTGCGTCTGACACCTTTTGCATCATTTAATGGTAAAAACTTTGCTCAAAATCCTGTTGTACACAATCAGATACACCTGATAATAGGGGGCAGAAGACTACACAAACAATAATCTTGACTTATCGTATAGTGATAAATTATTAATATTAAAAATGTATTTCTGTTTTTTCTTTTTACATATTTTGTTAAAAGGCCAAATAAGGAATTCAAAACAAAAAAAAGTAATTTTCTGTTTTGTTTTATTCTTGGATCGGGCTTTAAAGGGTTAACATTTGATTCGTACGCCATGTAACCGTGTCCTGAGTTTGTGTTTTTTTTAAGCCCTTTCCTTTCAGTAAAGAATGAGGGAACATGGAAGGGAATGGTAAAGTCTCTTTCCTTTTTCTTTTGGTTGGTGTATGCAGAAATGAAAGCCAAAGCTAAAGGAACAGAAACCAGTCGGCCGCTTTGGGATCAGGAGGGCAGTCCTGTCTGCCCTGCAAAGCTTTCTGGGAGATGGAGTTCTACAGGGGAGGCTCCAAATGAAGGATGAAAGACAGCACAGGTAAGGCTGAATTTCAGATTTTCCCATTGGTCTTTTTTTGCTGCTGCCTTAATGATTCTGGGCTGTCTGACTGCTGGTGTCCCATCAGCTGTTCCCAGCTTTGGGTTTGCTTTATTACTCCTTTATCATGGATTTAAAAAATCAGGGGGGGGGTCTGCTACTCATTTAGCCATTTAGCACACTGCCACTGGTTTTGAGCACTCTGGGGCTAAACAAGTTAAAGAAACAAACACCATGAGATGAAGCAATAATCTCTTGAAGTCCGTGCCCTAAACTTTGACAAATACTAGGCTGGTCCCGATCCGATATCTGGATCAGATCGGCCGCCGATATTTGCAAAAAAATGCGTATCGGCCTGTAGGAGAAAATATAGATCCAGACTCCATATCCAGTTTTTTTTTAAGCCCGATCCCACACGAGCATTAGCATCTCCTCACCCACAAGTCTGAGTCCTAACCACTAAGTTGTTATAAGAGTAAATCCCTGTTCAACATGAGTCTGACAACTAAGTAAGTAGACAAATAACTTTAAACTTTAACACATGCTCTGATTGGCCGGGATCGGAAGTAACAAAATCTGGATGGGGACGTCCCTAACAAATGCCCTGATGTGTGATCTTGTTAAAATGACCCAGAATGGACTTGTGTCTGGCGCTTTAGCCCCGCTTTGCTCCCCAGAGACCGACCGGTGCTGCTTTTACAGCCCGGCACCCACTGAAGTTTATTCCTATTCAACCCTGAGGCCCGGTTGCTCTTTTCTGCGGTGAAATGTGGTTTTATTATTTACAGCTTCGAGGCGCGGGCCGAGCCAGAGAGCTGTCAGCGTCGGGCGGCCGTGGGGAAACAATGAGGGCTTGGATTGGTCACGCTTTGCTTAAAACACCGTTAACAGCCTGGAAGTCCAATTTCTGACTGTTTGAAGTTTTTGGGCCTTGAGCAGAAGTTCACGGCAGAGAGGGAGGAGGCCGATTTTTCTCCGGGGGAAATAAATAACGACGGCAGAATATGTGGCAATAGGTTTTCTAAATGCGGATTTGCAGCTCTCACCTGGGTTACAGTCTGTGAGCAGGGAGCAGATGGACAGCAGCACCTTGGAGATGGTGAGGGCGGGGCTCCAGTTGTCCTTCAGGATGTCCAGACAGATGACCCCCTGACTGTTGATGTTGCAGTG